ACAGGACAGAGCGGAGTTTAGGGCTGTTGTACATAGGGTCGCTATGAGTCGCAGGCGACTCCACGGCACATAACAACAACAACAACTCATGATAGGCTTTTTCTGCTGTCACAATGCAAAATATATTCTGATTTTTCATGTGTCTGCATCCCTGACCAGAAGAATTTTTAGTATAACACTTGTTTACCATTCTTTTCAAAGCTATTCCAAAACTATCTGCTCCCAACCAATAGAAGAGTTGATTTGAGTGGAAGGAAATGCAGTACAAAATTAGAAGGTGATCAGCACAGTGTTACTAAAGAAAGGAAAGACAGGTATGGAAAAATTAATGGAAAGCATTAGTAAAGGGAGGAAATGTAATAAATGTGATTACACTGAGTATTGGAATTCATATAGTTCAACATGTGTGAATGATTGGATGAAAAATTTTCTTAGCCCACTTTTACTCAAATCATCATAAAATATGGTTTCAAATAAAAAGAGGCAGCATATATGAACAATTTCTAGAAATTTTTTGAATGGAGTAGAAAGGAAGTAGTATCATGAAAAATTATTTCCTAACCTCATTGGTTTATACTGCATCCACCTACTGTTTATACCTTCATTGGAAATTGGTTTTAATAAAAATATTTTTTTAAATCTCAATCTTTATACCTGTGATTATAACCCATTTGAGAATAAATTGTTTTTATTAATGAGGAACAATTGGGTGCATTTTGAATCAGTCTTTTTTGAGAGATAAAGATAAAACACAGTCTAGTAAGCAGAGATGAGACAAGAGAGATGCCAAATTCTACATGAATGATGGTCACCCAGAAACAGAAACTCAAAAGAGATAAGACCTTCCTCCAGAACTAATACGGAAAAATAACATCCTCCCACACCCTATATGCTGAATTTATACTAAACTAGAGGAAAGCAAATTGTTTTATTGACATTATCCACCTATGATTCTGTTACAGCAGCACTGAAAATGTCCCATAGAAGTTAAAAACATTGAAGAGAATTGTGGCAAAGGAAGCAATGACAGTAATTACAATAGATAAGAAAATGCACTAGATGCAAAGTTACTTTTTTTTTTTTTGCAAAGTTACTTTTGTTAACATAGTGTTTAATCATAAAACAATGTTTTATTAATCTGACAGCCAAACATTAGCTCTTTGCACATAGGTACTTTATTATGTCTTAATTACATTTTTATATATGGCATTGACATTTAGTTAGGTTGGATTCCTGTAGGGATGTAAAACTAGCTAATCTCAAAGTATTGACTAGTACAGATTAATGAGGCTAGCAAGTCCCAACTGTGTGGATTAGACATGAGGATAATATTTTGACCCTCATAACTGCATAGACTATCAGCAGATTGGTAAGGTGTTGGCTGTGAAAACTGATAAATACAAGATGACAGGCTACTAGCCTAAATCCAAAGAACCAGAGATCAGTGTTGACAAGATCAGTGGTGACAAGCCTAATGTAGGATGCTGATCCAGCAAAAAGCAAGAGTTGTCATAATGTCCAGCAGCAACGTTGACACACTCTTAAAAATCACAACAAGCATTACCATTTCCCATTTTATGTAAATTGATAATTAGATTGTCATTCATGCAGAATATCCTACTTACATGAAAATGACTTTCACTGACTTTATTTGGATTTGAAGAATTTTAAAAAGTTATTTAACCAAAAAGTTGGGCCTTTCTCTACTGATCTACTTAAAAAGTTGTCGATTTGAAGCCTACTACCCTGAGTATTTCAGTGTGTGTGTACATCTTCCTCCAAAAGAATACAAACCATAAAGACAGGATATTAACTTGAACCCAAACACCATTCACCATTTGTCCTGAGAATATGTCTTAGAGCAAAAGAACATAGGTCAGATTCACGTATTTCTGTGTCTGGTATGATTAGAACATTTTTTCAGGCTTTCCTTGATAAACCTAGTTTGATTTTATGTGGAATTTTCTTAAGATTACACTTAGGCCATTTATCTTTGCCTGGAATAACAGAAAAATAATGTTTCTTTTTTTATTAACTGCCACATAACTCGTTTGTTCCACTACCAATAAGGTGAACTTGGACCACTGAATATGTCTACCAAGCTTCTCTACTTTATGCAGAGTAGTTTCTATTTTCCTTTTCATAGTGTTTTACTAGGGAACTTTGGTGGCCTAGTGATAAAGAACTGAGCTGTCAATCCAGAGGTACATGGTTTGCATCCACCAGTTGCTCCTCCGGAGAAAGGCAATGTCTCATATGACTTACAGCCTCTGAAAACCTGCTGGAGTGTTTATTATAGTTCAGATCCAACTTGTCAGCATATAACAATAAGTGTTTTATTTGATGCCCAAATGTCTCTAATAGAGCTTCCAGTTGGTGTCTGTTTCCTATTGACATAACCCCCATCATTGCTTGAGTATGTTTTGGATTCAGGACATTGTTTTTTGCCCCATCTTGTACATTTCCCTGCCCAGATCAGGAAGCAGCCACTTTACCAAACAGCCCTGGTTTCTTTTAGTGGTAACCTAGATCTGTAGACTAAGGTATGCCTGATCCAGGTCACGGTCTTAGCAGTTACTTACTGTGCATCAGAAAGCTGGACAATGACTAGGGATAATAGAAGAAGAATTGATGCCTATGAGCTGTAGTGCTGGAGAAGAGTATTAAATATACCTTGGTTTGCTTGGAAAACAAACAGGTTTGTCCTAGAGAGGGTGAAACCAGGCTGCTCCTTGGAGGCAAGGATTCAGAAGCTTTGACATAGTTTGGGCATGTTGCAAGGAAGGAATAGTCCTTGGAGAGGGGCATCATGCTTGGGGGAGTGGAGGGACAGCACAAGAGAGGAAGACTCTCAATGAGATGGATTGACATTCCTGGAATAATGGTGGTAGGTGTGTCAGATTTGAAGTTGACTCAGTATAGAGCAGGGGTCAGAACTGTTGTACATAGGGTCACTGTGAGTCGTAAGCAACTCAGTGGCACCTAAGAATAAAACTATAATAGATGTGGATCATAGGTGTGCTCCTTACTGCTTGAGGCAATGCTGCTGCCAAGCCCCCTCTTGTATACATGGGAATGCAATGTACTGCTGTTTTTATATCTGTATGTGCTGTGTGCTGCATAGTATTCCATTGTGTGAATGTACCATAATTTCTCAATCCATTCGTTTGTGGTTGGACATTTGGGTTGTTTCCATGTTCTTGTGATGGTGACTAATGCTGCTATGAACATTGGTGTACAAATCTCCATTTGTGCCTCAGTTCTCATTTTCTCAGGGTATATTCCTGTAATGTAAAACAGGTGCAGAATATGAAAGTAAGAAGCTTTTTATTGGAAGCTCTTGGGCTTGGTTTGCCGTCCAGGGCTGGAGAGTGGCAGCAAAGAGCAGAGTAGTTGCATGTGGACTGGGGGTGAATCACCTTTTAATCACTTGATAGGAAGGGGCCATCTTTTGGCAGAGGAAGTGATCGTGTAGCTTGCTGATTGGCTGCAGCTGCTGGAGCTTTGGGGCAATGACTGATGACACAGGCCGGCTTTCTCTTGGCAGAGGAAGTGGTCATGTAGCTTGCTGATTTGCTGCAGCTGCTGGCGCTAGCTGCTGAAGGTGTCAGGCGGGAACTGGCTTTTGTAAGCGAGGTAGGTTGTGGCATCAGATGGTGAGGTAGATTGTTGTATCAGACAGCTTGGGAAATCCCCTTTGTAGCTTCCATTTCCTTGAGGCCATGTCACAGGATTCAGTGAGTCAGCCCTGCAGGCCTATAATCCCAGCCTTTTTGGTTATATAGGGGTGACGTATTTTCTCTGGCTGCTTCCTGCATAAAGAGGTCATCATGAGGATGGGGGAGAAAGGCTAGGAGATGGGCATAAGGATGGAGCAACATCTGGTTAACTTCAACACGAGAAATTTCATGGATACAAGCTTGCAAAAATTTTAGTAGTCATGGTGCTACTAATAGAAAAATAGAAGACAGATTCTTAGTAATGGATTTATAATTACGGCTAGCCAAGTCATTAACAGTGACCGCCACCACCCTGGTTGGATCCAGATGGCATTT